AATGGAGGAGAAGGGATTGCAGCGTGGCCATCCCCCCTGGGGGGACGATTCCTCACTTCCTATCTCTGTCTCTGTCTGGCGAGTGCACACGCCCTATAGCAAAAACCTCTCCAAAAAAGATAAGGTATCCCCTTTCATACTTTCCAACTCCTTAGTGAAAGGAATAACCTCTGGGCAATTATGGGAAGCAAAATTAGGAGACGATTAGGTCACACGTAGGCTAAATCTACGGGGTTGTCGGAAAAGTCATGTTTTTCTATGCAAAAACATATGACTTTTATGACAATGCAATACAATCAGTTCTGTATCGTGTCTGGTTTTTCTTCTGATGCCATACTGAAGTTTCTAGCATCTTGATTTCATTGAATATAGGCCACTCTTTTGTTTCATTTTTTAAAGATTCTTGTCATAGAGCGTGTGTGCTCGTCAGAGAGGGAAAGTGAGAATCACCCTCCCCAAGGGGAGAAGACCACACAACAGTCCCTCATCTTCATTCTCCTCTCAAGATTTTAGGCATGCATACACATGTGCCCAGGGCGCTTTTTCAAGCCGCTGGGTCCAGGACTCGAACTACCAAGTCAGCCACATGGGATCAAGCACCTTAACCACCACAAAACCTGCTGGCCCCAAGTATAGGCCACTTTTAAGTCCAGATATCATCTGACCGACCAGCTTTGAGCCAGTTTTAGCTGCTAAAGCCAATGTACTCAATCTAGACCCTCCTGTGTATCTATCCTGATCAATCTAACCCAGATAAAAGCAAATTTATGCTTCTCCCTGGTCTATTACCTTCGGGACCCAGCCTACACACCCCCCGGCTTTCCACTAATCCAGATGGGCGAAATCGTGCACTTCCCTAGGTCTTCTCTCAGATCAGTTTGCCTTCCAGAAGTGCCTAGCGAATCTGGAAGCGGTGAGGGTAGTGGGAGCACATGAGAAGCCCTTTCAGAGCAGCCGGCCTGGCTGAGCACCACCAGCAGCCACGTTGGTGAGGGGAGGAGCTGCTGCTGCTGGTTACAAAAGTTACGTGGGGTCTGTGGGGTCCGAGTCCTAGGATCTGCCCAAATCCAAGGTCCATGTTTCTCATTTCAGGGTTCCCCTTTCCCTAAACGACACCCTGACTTTCACACGAGACCGCTAAGAGCGTGAATCCAGTCAGGCTGTACCTCAGCGAGCTGGAAGCTCTGCCTGATACTCACACCCATCAGCCTTGCGGCTACAAGAGCTCACTCAAGGCTCTCCCGCACATGTGCTGAGCCAAAACAGCAAACTCGAGCTTCTCCTTCACCTTTCTCTTTTTATTTAGTTTTACTATAGAGCATGCACACTCATTGGAGAGAGACAGAAAAAGAGAGGGAAAGTGAGAAATCACCCCCAGGGGGGGATGGCCACACTGCAATCCCTTCTCCATTCTCCTCTCGGGATTTTGGGCAGGCACACACACGTACCTGGTATTTTTCAAGCCGGTGGGTCTGGGACTCAAACCACGCAGCCAGCCATGTGGGATGCAGCCTCCTTCATTCCACCCACCTGCTGGCCCTTGTTTACCTCTCCTTCCCTCTGTAATGTCGGTACCACCACAGCAATCTTCATTCCTGACATGCCAGCTCATCACAGCAGCCACTTACTTCATCTGCCAAAGTCTTCCTCCAATGGTACTTCGTTTCAGGCGACCGCAGGTGCAAACCTTACTTACCAGCTTCCCCATTTTCCAGTGGCACCTGCATCTTCATTTCCTTCAAATCCAACTTGGCCATAACTAATCTAGGAGTCTCATCTGAGGGCCTGTTGCCTATAACCACTTTAGCAAACAAATACTGTTCTCAGTCCGGGTTCGGCAGTCACGGGAAACTCCTCTACCAATTCTAAGTAGAAAAGGATTCGGTATAGGCACACTAGGTGCTTGCAAAACAGCTGGAAAGCCTGGATGAGCGTGCTGTAGGCCAGGCGAGAAGTCCCCAGAACCAGCCTACCACAGAACTGCGACCCTGATGAGAAACCAGGAGGCCTCTGCAGACTGACTCCAGGAGCAGGGAGTGCAGACTGCCCTCTGGATTAGGACACTTTCCGCATCCACAATGCCAGCGAGGAGGACCAGAACACCAGTGGAGGGAAACCCAGGGGCCTATGTCCTTGCAGGAGCATAGGCAAAGCAGCCAGCGGGAGCCCCTGAGGCACTCTCTCCTTCCACATCTTCTTTGTAATTAGCAACATTTAACAACCTTAACTTACACTCAGAAACTTAGTTTCAAGAAAATTTTATAATAAAGTCTGTAGCTTGCCCCTCTCTGGAGTAAAGGCACCTTATGAGGTCTGAGTAACTGATGCACGCGCCTGTACCATACTCACAAGCTTCTATCGGCCTATTCAGTTAGGACTGGTGACTAGACACCCTCTCTCCAGTTCCAGCCTCCTTCGAACTTGGCTGCAACCGCCCCATCTGTCTGGCTTTGAAGATCATTTCTTCCTGGCCTCAAAGAAACCTTGAATTTCCTTGTCTTCAGTTGTTGGGCTAATCTGGACAGCCTTGCCCCAGCTACCTCTGCAACCTCATCTACCGCCCTGCCCACTCCGTCTGGACAGAGTCCTCTATAGTCTGCTCTGGGAGAAAGACAGAGACCTCTCAACTTTATCCCTCACGCCTACTAAACCCTTCCTAGATATTCAATGGTCACTCCCTCATCCAGGTCTCTAATAAAATGCACGCTTATCGAAGAATCCTCAATGCCCATCGAAATAGCACTATCAGGGACAGCAGGTGGCATGGTGGTTAAGGCTCTCAACTCCCACATGGCTGTGGTTCGAGTCCCAGAACCAGCCGCTTGAGAATCCGAGAATCACACTCTGTGTGTGTGTGTATCACACTGTGTGTGTGTATGTGTGTGTGTGCATGCCCCAAATCCCAAGAGAATGGAGAAGTGATTGTGGTGTGGCCATCCCCCTGGGGGGAAGTGATTTTCTCATTTTCCCTCTCTCTCTGGGGAGCACATGGCCTATGGCAAAAACCTAACAACAAAAAAAGCTCGATCTACCATTCTGTCCCCCCCATGTACTTATCCTCACCTGATTACAATCTGATTGTGTTCCCTACTAGATGGTAAATTCTATGGGGACAGGAATTTTGTGTGTTCCTCACTGCTGGCATCCCATACCCGACAGTCGGGAGTTCCGAATGAATGAAGGCTGTATTAAGAGGTGAACTTCCCCATTTTCTAAGCGGAGAAATTTCCCAGTGCACTACTCATGTTCTCCTCCAGGTGGTGCTCATGTCCGGAAGATGGGGTTGTGCTGTAAAGGACTAGAATAAACTTGCGTTTTTCGTAGCCTCTGATCTAGAGTTCTGGGCTTCTCAGATGACACCCAGAATCTCCTTTAACTCATTTTTCGTTTTTCCTCCAGAAGGAAAAACCATGGGCCTTTATCAGACGCATCTTCATACACCATCTCAATCTTTCAACCCCATAATTAGGATTATTTTCCCCATTTTGGCCAAATGAAGAGAGACTCAGAGATCAAGCTGCCCAAGTCTTACAGCAGTGAGTGGAGCCCAGATAAGGAACACAGGTTTGGCCCCTCCAACAAACTGATTTTATCCAAGTTAATTACTCTCTTGATGAGGCTTCAGAACTACAAATCTTGAGCTTGCCATTTGCATTTCAGAGATTTCCACACTGTCTGCCTCTCTTTCTGACAGATCCCCCTTTTTGCACAAGGACATCCTCTAGGGCACTTTCTTTCAGAGACCCAAGGTCCACTAAGCATTTCCTGTCCCAGGTGCAGAGAGGTGCACTAAATCTGGCTGCAGGGCCAAGAGATAAGAATGTTCCAAGCCGACTGTTGTCCAGACTCATCGTCCAACTTGTAGTAAAACACTGGCCAGGAAGACAAAGAACAGGTGCATCTGTGAAAGGAAACAGAAAGCCATCTGGTCCTTAGGGAAA